TCTTATATTAAACCACACTGACTGGTGATCACTGGATCCTAAACTTTCACCTACAGTTATATCTGATACCAAATCTCCATTTGTTAACACTAAATCTAGTATGGCCTCAACAACTTGTTTTAGAGACAATCCCAGTAGGGAGTTTAGAATATGTGTGCTCCTGGCACAAGTAGCTAATTTTGTTTTCCAATTTACATCAGGAAGATTAAAGTCACCCATGATGATAACTTCCCCCTTCATTGTCCTTTTAGCTATTTCCTCAACTAGTAGATTATCTAACTCTTCAATTTGTCCTGGGGGCCTATAAATCACACCTACACGAGTTACTGTGTGATTACCAAATTCTAACGTAGCCCAAACGGACTCTATGTTTGCCTCACTAACTTTTATTAGGCTAGATTTTATGCTATCCTTCACATACAAGGCCACCCCTCCCCCTTTCTTGCCTTCCCTATCTTTCCTATATAAAGAGTACCCTGGTATTGCTATGTCCCAGTCATTTTTCTCATTGCACCATGTCTCAGTAACAGCGACTAAATCTACACTATCAGTTGCCATTATTGCCACAAGTTCATGGATCTTATTCCCTAAACTGCGAGCATTTGTAGACATGACTCTAAGCTTATCATTTTTAACACACTTGCTACAGGCACCTTCTGTCCTTGTTTTGGGGGACAATTGGATTGATGTTTTATCACCCTTTTGCCCCCCCCCTCCTAGTTTAAATACATCCTAGCAAAACCTCTGAACTGCTCACTGAGAACATTTGTTCCCTTTTGAGAAAGATGCAAACCATCTTTTTTGTACAGCTTATCTCCATTCCAAACAGAGCTACCATGAGAAATAAAGCCAAATCCTTGCTCCCGACACCATTCACCAAGCCACAAATTAAAGTCCCTAATACGCATCCGCCTGTCGTTCTGAGTGTTATGCACAGGCAGTGTGTGTGTGTGTGTGTGTATGGAGATGTAGTTTTATGAATAGGGGAATAGTGTGTGTAAAGGGTGTATTATTTTGTGTATATGGATGTGGTGTGTTTGTGTGTAGGGGGTATAGTGTGTGTATAGACAGTAAAGTATGTTTGCAAAAGGTATAATCTGTCTATAAGGAATAGAATAGAGATTTAATGCAATTTTTATTTTTAATGCAGTTATTCCTTATACATATAAGTAAATAAAAAGGAAAAATTAAACAATCCTAAAAACCGAATAAATGTAAAATCTAACTTTTAATGTTAATAATAAAAATACAGAAATCCAAATTATAAAATCATGTCTGATTCTATAAAACTGACAGATTGGTAACGTAATACATCCTTTCCAATAAATGTATCTGGGCATCATGATCTA